AAGGCTGTTTCTATTCTATTCTATTCTATTCTATTCTATTCTATTCTATTCTATTCTATTCTATTCTATTCTATTCTATTCTATTCTATTCTAAAGTTAGATAACTTTTAGTTAGATAAATGTTGGTATATTTGAAAGAACTTCCACTTATTTTACAGCTGCAATGAAAAATTCAAACTTTTTTTTGTATAATGGGTAATTAGTAAACCCGTGACCCTGAAAGGAAGAAGCGGGTTAGGGATAGTATTTATTTATTTATTTATTTAAGAAAAGAATAGCATTGCTGAACATGCGGTACAGCTTCTTACCGAAAGGGGGCAGCACTAAGCAAAGCTTTGCGCCAACATGGAATTAGGTCTTTATTGCGCAAACTGCTAACGTCAGTCGGGCTTTTCTTCAATACTAATACCGCCATCTTGTGGTAGCCTCCGAGTATTACAACATTACCGGTCTGTGTGACTCTGCCAGTGGCTCGAAGCTCCCAGAAAGAGTTGCCGCGGCAGCAGTAAGTTGGTGTTAACATCGGGAACTGCGCGCTTTTTTTTTCAGCCCTTTCCACTTATGAAGCGTTTCTTTCAAAGTGAGCGAGGCGACAAGCCGCGGGAATAGGTTGACTCCTTCGTGCAGCTGAAAGTCAGTCACATGGTGAACGGATGGAGCAGCGCTGAAAAGCTTCATCAGAGAAAGGAGAGGTTTTAACCAGGCACACACACAATCCACCTGCTGACTCAAGGGATTCTCCTCAGGATGCCTCACAAGAGCAAAAAGGTAATCTGGGTTTTTGCTGTTAATCTGCAGAAGTTGTAATGTGATTTGTTAATGTGAAATTAATTCTGCATCTTCTTCTTTTTTTATTTTTTCATGTTTAGGAATCCGGCAAATCTGGAAGGTCCAAGAAATCTGGAGGTAAAAATGGGCCTGCTGATGACAAGGAAGTGAGTAGTGTATAACTTTTTAATAAGAGTGACAACTTTATGCAGAAAATGTACAATTATTAATTAGATCAGTTATGCATAAGAACCAGTTTTGCAGTTAAAAACATTCAAGTGGGAAAGCTTTAAGAACCACAAGATTAGAAGTTAACTAAACTTGGTTTTTGTTCTGGTGCTTTAAAACAAGAAGTTAAATGCTTTTGTTTTGTTTGCAGTTATTTAAATGTATGTATAAAGTATTCAAACTTAAGAAGATTTGTTAACATTTGTTTTATCTATAACAGTTTTTATTGTCATGGTAAAAGATAGTTTTCATTTATTTTGCCATTTAAAATAACCAACGCTGCRTGTGCTGCAGCATAATTCTAACTCAGCTTCTGCTCTTGCACATGTTTGATCCCTGACCGGTTTGTTTATTTTTAAGTTTCAAAGTTGCTCATATGACATGTGGTATAGTCTTGTGACTTTATTCTCTTCGACAACCCCTGCACTCTGAGCATAAAGGTTGGTATTGTGGGACTTATTTTTGCTTATTATAATTCAAAAGTAGAGTGTAAAAAGGGACTTAGCCACAAGGAAAGAGCCATAAAAACTCCACCACGATGACAAAACCTGATTCAGAAGTTGATKCAGAGTAGGGTTGGGCAATATTGGCAAAAAAAAAAAAAATCATGATTAATTGTGGTATTTAGCCGATAAAGATTAATTTGACAATTAATCCCCTGGAGTCCCTGAACACTCTTATGTCCTGGTCACATGACCAATTTAGCGGGAAAAATTTGCTCTTCGTAAAAATCTGTTCCAAATTGTGTCAAAACTACAGACTTCAGACTGTACATCAAATTTTAAATTGTGTTGATAGATAAATAAATTACAGAACTTTTTTTTAATGTTCGTCATATTTGAAGCAGAAAGGAGCACCGAGTGGACTGACTGGTGGCATTAATCGTATTAATTGTGAAGTGCCAAAAAATAATCGATAATGTTTGTCTGATGATTAATTGCACACGATATGATTATGCCCAACCCTAATAGAGAGCACATAGCACAGCCTATGTGAACATGAGTGATGGTGGGGGGTATCACATGCAGTTGACATGAGCACTGATTGTTCCGGTGACATTCTTATCGGCATCGTCTGCGTTTTCATTTATTCTGTCCACTGACGTCCAACAGATGCGGAATAGTACACCTCCGGCTGTGATCATGTTGCCTGGTGGCGAATCACCTGATCTGATTCGGAAAGGAACCTGACCCCGAGCGCCGCTCTTCTTTCACCTCCTTTCCTAAATTCCACTGTGACGCTTCTTTAGATTCCTGTTATTTCCCTGAGTGCCGTGAACTGCTTTGCCCTACTTTGCCCCAGTAATCAGCRGTCCTTCTGTTGCCGTTTGCGTTTCTGCAGAGCTCCGGTAAGAAAGTGCCCCCTGCCACCCAGCTGCTAAGGGTGAAGCAGCCGGGGCCACACTCGGCTGTGAAGAGGGAGAAGAGGTTCAGCACTTCATCCTTCCCGCTCAGTGCTAACAGAGAGCTGCAGAAACTACATGCTTTTGCAGGTATGCTAAAAGAACTTATTGATCCTTTTTTTTATCCAAGTGTTGCTCCATGCTCCACTGCGGGTCAGTTTTAACTGATTTGCAGAGCTCATGTGGGCTGCAGTAGCTCAGTGGTCAGTGCCACCATCTTTTAATCCTGAGGCTGCAGGTTTGAGCTCAGAGTGCATCGTGAAGGGCGTCCGACGTAAAACAATTGCTAAATCTGTTGTGCGAAGTTCACTCCCCTGCAGAAGGGAYCAGTCGAAAAGAAAACAACAACAATACTCCACGTTTAGCTCCTATGAGGAAAGAATGGAGTCACATTAACAATTCATAGGCTTGGTGGATCTTCATAACCACCCTGTAACCTCAGGATCTTTCCTCATTACGTTATTGATAGCAACACAAACTGCTCATCAGCCTGGTCTCTAATGCAAATGATGTGCGGTCAGCTGCGTCTCCGTCCTTACCTGCAAGAAACAGATACCCACCTCCTCCTCGGGCGCTCTTTCATTTCTCTGACTCACAGAATTGACAGGAGACTAGGAGGCAGTAGTGAAATCTGGGCCATCCAATAATAACTCCATGAAGCATCCCCACATCAAGCATGAGTGGCAAACATCYCAGAACATCCGTCTTGTTCTGTAAACAAACAGGTGATGTTATAATACAGCCTGGCCCAGCAGCATGGATCAGCTCATACTGAATCAATCAGCAGACCAATCGGACCACAATTCACTGTGTAAATGCTGAGGCAGCATTTTTTTTCTGTTTGTCTTTTGTTTAGTAACTACCGTAGTTCTGCACACTGTGTGCTTTTGTGGCCATTCATTAATCAAACTATTCATCTCTTTTAGGTAAGGGTGCTATAACTTTTGGTCTGTTAGTTTGATTGTTTTTAAAATATTTAACTTTTATTACAAATATAGACACACTCAGAAATCTCCAGTTCCTTCAAAACATGTTTTTCTCTCTTCAACGGTCTTGTTCTGTTTTTATTGTCTTGGTACACTGCTTTTAGGTATTACCTCCAGCTGTTACTTTTAGCTTAGAGCTAGCTTTTTGCTGCTTTAGCCTTTAGACTGCATTTTGCTACTTTTAGCTTGAGGTTGTGTTTTAGTTTTCAGCTAGTTTTTTGATATTTCATTTCTAGAGCTCTGGATTTACCAGTCYGCCTACGTTCCTACCCTCATCTATGGTCACGGAGCTTTGGGTAGTGACTGGAAAAACAAGATCACGGATACAAGCGGCCGAAATGACTTTCCTTTGCAGGGTGTCTGTTCTCTCCTTTAAGGCTTCAGCATGCTGCATGCCAAAATRGTGCCGAACTGTCACAGTTTCATGACGAAAGTTGTGTCATTCAGTTCGCATTGTCGACATTTCGGCACTTCTTGTCGCAACCCTCGGGTCGAACTTTTCACCCCTCTCCACATAAGAACACATAGGAACTTTATTGTGTGATTGGTCAGAAGTTTGTGGGAGTGTTTGTTTGTGCTGAAAGCGCTCAGGCGCTGAGTTTGGCATCAACCACTTGCTTCAAAAAAAGAAAGGGAAAAAAAAAAGAAAAGAAAAGCGACTCACTTCCAGAGACGACTGTTACCAGGAAGCAGCGGTTTATAGAGAGTCAAGGGGATAAAAACAGACATTTTTCACGGTGGAATCTGACTGGTAAAAACTTTGGAGCTTAATCCAGGACCAGCTTGTGGTTAAACAAAGTTGGGTGACGAGTCTCTGACTTTTTTTCTTTTCCGCATTGGACTCCCCCGGGAAGAAATCCCATGCAGTGACGTATGCTGCAGCGGGAGGGYTTTCCCAGGAGCTCGGCTCGTTGTGTCTCAGGAGCTATGAAAGGTGTGTGCGAAAACGAACGCCGAACAACCACGTGCCGGRGCGTCAACCGGTCCGCTGACGAGCGACCATACTGCCTGCTTTAGAGATAGGGTGAGAAGCTCGGTCATRCGGGTGGGCCTCAGAGTAGAGCCGCTGCTCCTCCACGCCTAGAGGAGCCAGTTGAGGTGGCTCGGGCATCTGGTTAGGATGCCTCCTGGACGCCTCCCTGGTGAGGTGTTCCGGGCACGTCCCACTGGGAGGAGGCCCAGAGGAAGACCCAGGACACGCTGGAGGGACTATGTTTCTCAGCTGGTCTGGGAACACCTTGGGATTCCCCCGGACGAGCTGGCCCAAGTGGCTGGGGAGAGGGAGGTCTGGGTCTCTCTGCTTAGGCTGCTGCCCCCGCGACCCGACCCCGGATAAGTGGAAGAAAACGGACGGACGGAATTTCTAGAAAGCCTTTTGCTACTTGCTTGCTCTATTTTTTCTCTTATCCATCTTTAGATTTTAATTAGTACTGCTTGTTTTAACCAATAGCTAACTTTTTACTACTTTATTCAGCACTTTGCCACTTTTAGCGTTTTGTTAGCCTTTCCTTTTTGTTACTTTTAGCTCTAATTGGCCTTTCGTTATTTTAGCTTTTGATGCTTTTTGGCTACTATATTACTATTTACGACGATTTTAGAACATGTTGACTTTTCCTGTTTTAAAGTAAACTTTAATTTGGTCCAAAAAGTTTTTCTACTTTTGGCTTGCCTTTTGCCACAGTTGAGTTTAGCTAACCTTTTACCACTTTAGCTTTTAGCTAGCATTTTTTTTACTTTGCCACTTTTTTTAGCCTTTTGCCTGTTTTTTGCTTCTTTTACCTTTAACAACTTAGTTCACACTACATTCTGACAGAAGATACAGTTTATTCTGTAAAATTAGTCAACCAAGCTGTTAAATGAAATGTTTTCGTCTTTTTAAGTTACCACAGGGGTTGAGTCTTTTCAGTTCATATCACACTGATGTTGTTTCTGAGGAGAGACATGGAGGCTGAGGTTTGAATACTTGCATCAATCTTTCATGCCTCCTCTGTTCACAGCATCATAAGTTCTGGTCTAAGTGATTTCCAGTAAACTAGACACAGCTTTGTTCTGTAATCTGAATGAGCAGGTTGACACTATAAATAGAGTCCAAACCGTTCAGGATCAAAGGTGTGCTAGCTGGAAGATAATTACTGTCCGAGCACTGTTCTATTAATTAGAGTTCACTTGTGACTCAGTTACTTATAACACTGTTATAACACTCAGCTAATTGGAACTCAAATTTTGCACAAATCAAACACCAAAGAAAACAGATGGGTTTGAAACTAATTTGAAAGTCTCAGCAGTCTCAGCAGTTTGAATATGAAAAGGTAACTGTTCCATATTAATAGTTATCAGCAAATGTTAATGGAAATTAAAGACAATCGGTTAGAACTTTTTGGGAATGCTTCTCAGCTACTACAACACCAACTGTAAGCTCAACATCTGTCAACTGAGGTATAAACAGGTTTTTGTATTTGCAAAGATCACTCAGCTACAGGTTAATGACGTGAAAATAAGTAGCTACAGACAAAACTACAAAAAAAGGAATTTGCTTGTAGTCTTGAAAGTGTTTTTTTTTATTTATATACAGTATTTATTCATTATTTTACAAAATGAGATTTGCAGTAATCTTACATTACAGTTACACTGCAAAAAATATCCACCTAACCAAGTTTTAAAATCTTATATCCAGCCAAAAAGTCTTTTTGATCTTGTTTTGATACTGATTTACTAAACAAGAACTGATTGTGTAAGAATAATAATCTTGTTTTCAGAATGTGGCCAGTGGAGTAAGAAAATTAAACTTGGTAAGACTTGTTGAAATACTTGATTTGACTCAATTTTTTCTTATTTCAAGAATCCTACCAAGTAAAATTTTCTTACTCTACTGGCAGATATTTTGACTTAATTTGAGTCAAATTTTCAGGCTAACAAGACAAATAATCTTACACATTCTGAAAACAAGATTATTCTTCTTACACAATCAGTTCTTGTTTAGTAAATCAGTCTCAAAACAAGATCAAAAAGACCTTTAGGCTGGATTTTAAGATTTTAAAACTTGGTAAGATGGACAGTTTTTGCAGRGTATGGATCAATGATGCCACTTTCTATGTAATTAAATCAGGTATCTCCAGGTTTAGTGTTTGTGAACCTGACATGTGGACAACAAAACAATGTCAGTGGCACATTCATGCATGTTTGATGAAGAGGATTAGACTGTACGCTTCTCCGTCAGGTGTTGGTGAAACATTTAGCAGTGGGTTTGTGTTTCAAAAATCTRGTCGATGGCTCTGCTCTTTGCTGCCACCTGCTGGCTGAGAATAGTAAGGCTTGTTTAGTTTATTATTTGTAATGCGCTTTTATGTATCTTCTTTAATGTAGGTTACAAGTTTGTTTAACAATATCTCTTCCTGCTTCTTTTTTAACTAAAGTACTACAAAACATTCATGAGTTTAAACTATTTGCAAGTCCCAACAATAAGAATTAGAGTAAATAAAATGCACTTGTAAAGAGTTTTTTTTGGCAGTAACAACATACCAAACATCACCGAGTAAAAGCTTGTAATAAGGAAGTGCCAGGCACACTTTTATCAGCTCATCTAACAATTAAGATGTTATATGTGTCCCTTCAGAAGATGCCTGTTGTCATGACTGTGGAATGTAATAGCTGCTGTTGGAGGTTTTGTCCCCTCAGTGAGAGAATGCCCACAGTTGCACATGCTTCCTGTCTGGCGTTCATGACTGTTTTAATTTCTTTTAACTTATTTGTCTGTTTCCTGCACGTTGTGTGGTGATTTATTTTTTTCAGTCAACGGTCAAATTAGAGGCCTAACCTTCCTTGAAGGAATGCATATCGCGTGCAAACTTTCATGCCAGATTTTTGTTTAAAGGCTCATCTTTCATTATTGAGATATTAGTTACCGTATTTTTCATTAAACCTACAAAATGACATAATGCACTGAGTACATTTTAACAATGGCTCTCAGCTGATCTGTAAAACTGACTGTGTTAAAACTATTGTTTTGTTGGCTAAGGTTAATCTGTTCTGGTGACCATCTTGAATTCAAACATTAACCAATTGTAGATTTATTCCTAATGATTACTTTCTAAACATTTCATCAAAACCCACCCACTGGCTCATGAGATATTTTGCTAACAAACAGAGTTGATGTCAAAGGTTAATGACAAAGTTTTGAGCAAAACACAATCAGTTAGGCCGTGGAGAATGACTCTCAGCTACTACCACAAAAAAAGAGCTTAATATTGWAAAAAGTAACCAAACTAAAACCATATTTGTGTTTGCTAAGTTCATTTAGCTATGGTGGCCATTTTGAACAGAGMTGACTCCAAAAGTTAATCAGCTGGAGATGCTCGTTTAACGATTACTTTGTGAGAGTTTCGTGAAAATGTGTCCAGTGGTTCATGAGATATTTTGCTAACAGGCACACAAAATGCACACAGAAGGAAAAAAACATATTTTTTCACCTGCCTTTTGCTTTTCAACATCAAATAATAATAATAAAAAAACGAATAAAAGAACTGTGGCCAAAAAATGAAAAAAAGGTTTTAGTTGTTAATCTTATTACTTTAACACCATTCAGTTTGTTGTTCATCCTATAAATAACGCGTTRGATGGGTTGTCATTTAGTTACTTAATTATTCTTAACCACAACTGTATTTTTTTGGCCTTTTCATTGGATTCGAATGAACTGCTGGTCTGTGTCCATTGTTGGAAAACAAAGCAGCATAGTCTCTTAACGACTGTGAAACTGGTTTTGTGAGCGCTTCTGTCATAGAAGGTGGGTTTTGTCTTGTGGTGTGAMCATGGTTGGGCTCTGTGCATCTTTTGATAAATCACATGAAGAGAGGCACAGCTACTTCATTATGTAACGATGAAAAGCTTTTTCAGTCGCTCAGCGTCTTCGAGTTACATTTATGCTAGAAACCAGCCAACACAGCGTCAGTCACGTTAGAGCCCAATGAAAACTCAGATCGATGCGTAACATGTAAAAATATTGTGTCGCTTTTGGGTGATCAGATAAACCTCCTGCTGCTGCTCGGAGCTGCTGCGGCGCTCTCTTTGATTTTCTCTCTATTCTCTTTCATTTCCTGTTTAGAGCTAATTTTTGCTCAGCACACAGACGTCACTCACAATAAAAAAAAATTTAAAAAAAACATCCTTCAGATACTGAAGTACCGCCACTGCTCTGAATGACTTGTGAGTCACAAAACCAAGCTGCGGAGAGGGGGTTAATGTGACTTAACTTTGTGACTAATGTGACTTTGTTTTGTTCAGAGTGCAGCCACCTACAGTATTTGTGGTGAATGTGTTTGTTTGCAGTGMTAGCAAAATATCTCATGAACCACCAAACAGATTTTAATGAAACTCTCAGAAACTAATCACAAGGTGTACTTTTACAAGTGATTAACTTTTGGAATTCAAGGTGGCCATAATAACTAGTTGGCCTTAGACAGCACGTGTCTTTTGCTCAGTAAATTTTACAGATATAGCTAATATTTGGTGTGGTAGTAGCTGACAGTCATATACAACATATATTCCAAGCTCTTAAAGATCATGTAAAGTCATGTAAAATTGTGCATAGGGGTGTAAATCACCAGCTTCATCACATTATATTACATCGATWTGTTTGGATAATAATTTGATATTTCTCTATCACAATGTCTGTCACGAAATGATTTTGATTCATTTCATTTCCCATGTCTGCAATCGATATAATGCGATATACTGTATGTAACACAATGGCTGTGTTAGATGGACATTTGATATCGATTCACATCGAGCATATGATGACAAAATAGATCGATATTTTCATTTTTTCTCGATATAACTGAATCATGAACCATTCAGATCGATAAATCGATATAGATTGATGTATTGTTACACCCCTAATTATGCATAAAGTTAAATTCAAAGTTTGACCAAAGTGGCTGTTACTTTGCTATTTCTCAATAAGATGATCTTAATCTAAACTCTGACATAAAAAGCAGTGGGCGATATGCATTCCTTCAATATTTTTTTATTTTTATTTTAAAGTGTCAAGACTGGATCAGATATTCTGCTGTAAAATATCCATGTAAAGCTTTGACTAAATTTGAGGGTTTTTCTTCTCATGTAGTTCATGTTGGTTTTGTTCATTTAATCCATATATTTGAGGACCCTTTGACCCTTATTTCCATCTTACTTGGATAAAAAAAAGAGTAAAATATGACAATAAAAGAAGATTCAGAGAGGGCCTCCATTGCTCTGAGCTTTCTCTGTAAGTCATATCCAGCTGCTTATCCTAAATCTGATTATTCTAAAACCCCCAGCTAATATGAAGACTGTGGAAAAGACTTAAGTCAGTCTGATCCAGGATCTGTGGCAGGGCCTTGCTTGCAGAGCGCCTCCAGAGGGTAGTGATTGAAAAAGGAGGAACTGAATAAGAAGGGAGGAAAAAAAAAATCCAGGGCTGAAACCCCACCTCTCCTGTTTCATTCTCTCCTCCAATCACCCTTCCTTTCTCACAGCAGTTTGTGCCTCTATTGCTCCAGAGCAGTACGATTTCAGCCAATCGGCTGCCTCCTCGGCCGCTTACATCACTAACTAGCCTGTTCCCTCCAGCAGCAGAGAGAGCTTCATTTTCTGCTCTGCTTTTGTGCTAAAATGGAGGCTGGCCTCTCGCCCTGAGTGGATCGCCTTCCTGGTTGAGGTTTAGATGTTGACATGCAATAAATCTGAAGACAGGATGGTTGTGGACGCACCCAACTCCAATGGGCCCTTTCAGCCGGTGGCTCTTATGCACTTCAGAGGTATGTGGTTATTCTTCCAGTGTCYTCTATGAGATTTAAGACTAGAGATCAGTGTGTTCCTGTGCTSCTGTTCCACGGGTAACTGATCGGTTAGTCAGCACTCAGCCGTTTCACACACCATTCATGTGTTTCGGACCGGAAAGCAGCTCTGTTGCATCTCAAACTGAAACGAGAAGAGGTTGTAAGGCACTTGTGTATAGCAGTYAGACACCGGAGCTACATCAAAATCTGGTTTTACAAGCTAACAGCGCTCTGCCCATCCCCCCCCTGCCTGGCTAGTGATGTCAAAGGAAGTGAGGTCATAGCCAGAGGGAAGGGTCTCCTCTGTTTTTCATGTTTTCATGAGTGTATTTAAGTGATTCCTTTATTGTTGTTCAGTTATGTGTCGCGGSCAACGAAAAGGAGGGATCCAAAGTGTGCCTTCGTCTTCCTCTCAGCCGCTCCGCTCAGCCCTGAATTTATGTCACACTCCAGTTAGTCTGAGCACAAATTGGTCACAGTGTGTAGGCTGAGGACAGACACCACTGCTCTGCAGAAAGCAGCAGCCCTCTCCTCACCACTGCTTCGCTTTTTCTTCCTCGTTAACGCCCTGTGAGTGACATCTTTAGGCACATTTGACATGTTTTGTTTTTTAAAACTTTAAAACTCAAGAAGTTTTATTTTTTTATTTTTATTTTTTGTCACAATCCAAGCTGTTTTTGTGTCTGTGCAGAGCAGAGATCTTTCTGGACCGTAGCATCTGACTCGGCCTCAAGATGTGTGTACAATGTCCTCAGTCACGTCTGAAAGACCCGTCACTGTAMTTGGGTACAGCTGGGTGACTGAGAAACCCTTGGGCAATTATTGATTAGACTTCATTGAGCTATAGAGACCTTAAATAACAAGTCAGTATTTTGGAAACAGTTGTGTTTCCTGTTCAACAAAATCAGTAAAGAAAAGCAAATTATTGCAGTTCTCTTGTCCGTTTTTTCTGCAAAAAAAGTTTTATTATTATTATTACAAGGACAAAAACAAACAACAGTCAGTCAGATCCTGATAATTTAGCCAGTTTACCACCTCATTAACTTTCAGTCACATAGTGTGGTTTTCTCCTGAAATCCACTACACAGTGCAATATGTTTACTGCAGATTATTGAGGAAAAAAACTCACAAAGTGCAGGTTTGCAAATGTATTAGTCTGTTGTGAGTTTTTGGAATCTCGCATTCTAAAAATATGGCAAAGTTATTCAGAGAACAATGAGAATAAAAGAGGAATAGAAAGGCAAYAACAAGAGTAAAAAAGTTTATTTAAATAAAAAATTGCTTATCAGATAAATTTCAGTGAGTTGCAGATAACCAACAAACTGTACTGGGTTGTAAACATGCTTTTATGTTTCCACAATAAAGGCTCGTATAGGAGTCCATAAATCAGTGGTTGCATTTTTATCAAAGGAGGTTTTCCCCTCTTCATAAGAGTTTGTGCTGTAATTTTAGAATGTATTATAGATTTTTTTTATTTGTTGTGTTTTCATAACATTGTTTTTGTTTTTCCCTAATATTTAGGTTTTTTTAATCATTTTGTAGGTTTTGCAGCTCTGACTATATATATATATATATATATATATATATATTTAGTGGGAAGAGGTGCATTAATGGCACTATTGATTATAAAGTTTCAAGACCACTGGCTTAATAAAAATAAATGCCAGATGCTCTTCCTGACACAACCTGGGCTCGACCCCACAGTTTCAGGATTTCAAGACCGCTTCGTTAAAACTGAGCTACCCAGCTCCCGTTTTCATTTATTTTTGTGTTGTCACATTTTTAAACATTGTGTCACCYAATAATGATTTCAGCAGCAGACATCAGTACTTCTCACGTTGACTTTTTCCTGTTTCTTAGAAAAACCCTGCCGTTAATTTCACACCGAGTGGCATTAGCATGCAACAGCGTACCTTTCTAATACAGCAGATATGAATGTGTCGCTCGTTTAAAATTAATTATCAAGTGTTTTTCAAAGGATTTTTAAAACCCATAATTTTCTCAGTCYATTTGACCAGACTAGTTGCTCACATTCTTTCCAGCCTGTGACACCTTTTTTCTCTACATGGCTACAAATAGCAGTTTGTCAATGATGGCTGTGATGATTGACTTATTGTTGATAAAGCAGGATGCTGAACCAGTCCCAACTCCAGACAATCAGCTGTTCGTTTGACCCATTTAAAGAGGGAAAAGCTAAAAAAGTTGCTGTTCCCAGTGTGACCACTTATTTTAGTTTGGAACAGGGAACACTAGGATAACTCACTCTTTATTCTTCACTTGCGTTTGGGTAAAAAGAGTGACTGTCTGATTCCCACCTGAGGCTTTTATGAGTGATATTAATAGAAGTCACATTGTGGCAAACATCAGAACACTGGGTCATTATCTGTTGCACAAAAACCCACTGGGTATTTTTGGAACAAAACAAAAAACTTTTTAAGACGAGCTGTAGACTTATGTAATTGGAGCAACTTGTGTTTGAGAACCAAAGGCGTAGAGCCACGTTCCTGTCTGTCCTCATGTCCCACTGCAACCAGGACAAATTAAAAGATGCTGATACTGTGCTTTAGACTTCAGATGARATTAGCATGGAAAGTCTGAGTTTCATCAGGATAAACCAGCCTGAAATTAAAGCTGTAGAAGTGTGAACATATTGCTCTTAATTGTCTTTTTTTTATTATTGTTGTTGTTTCCTCTCGATTTTTAGCTCTGCACAAGAATCCCTTTGTACCCAGACCAAGAGTACATATGGCTAATAAAAGCTTTTAACAGTCTTCCTCACTATCACTAAGTCAGACTCATAAATCCTCTTTCATTCCATTTTTATTTACAGATATCAGTAACTGTGCACATTCTGTCCATGGAGGATTGACGTTTTCCTCTGGATATTTTTTTTCCACCTTGATGCCTGATCCACTTCAGTTCACTCATATCATAAACATCCTTATTAAATGCAGTTTTTACACCTCAGTGATCTTCATGATTAGGTGGGARGTGGTGAAGGAGCCAGGACTGCTGGTGCACAAGAATGATTTAACCACATCCAACTTGTGCTTTATGGGTTTTTATGTAACAATGTAATATAAATTTGCTTAGGGCATTTAATCTTTTMTTAAATGGTATCATTTGGTTAATTATGCCATTAAAGGAAGATWGCATGCACTTCCAGAAATGTTAGTTTTGCAGACTGCATGGAAAACGTACCACAACTTGTATTTTAGTCCTCCTGCTGCCCTTGGGTCAAAATGAGACCTGAAGCCTTACTTTCAATATTGAGATCATTTTGATCCAAAGGCAGCAGAAGGTTTAATAAAACATTCAAAAACCTGGAATAGAGGCACAGAAAGACAGTAACGTCCGCACAGGTAAAGRGGTGACAACTAGATAAAAAAGAAACATTCACCAAAAGTTTACTCTTTCCAAACAAGAATTTGTTGTGGCTCACTACTTTGAGCTAAACTCTGTCAGGAAAATAAAAAAGGATTGATCAAGTGCACAAAAATACTTTTTTGTTTTTTTCTGCGTGTCGACTGTGCAGTATGGAGTACAGATGCAGGCAGCCGGAAAATCTTGGTGCATAAAGGTCAAAGCTAGATGAAGGTGACCTTTCAGAACACCAGATGGTACAGCATGATAAATATCATGACACTTAGGAGTTCATCGCCCGACAAAGCCCTCTACTGCATCCAGAATTTCAACCTGTAACTGCAACATGAAATCAGCATTAACTCTGACTTRTGTGGGTGGGAGCTCATAGATGGTCAGGAAAGTGATGGACAAGTTCTCTGGTTAGATGAAATCATGTCTGCCGGTGTTGAGAAGGATAATAAAGGAAATGATCAGATAAATGTGCACCAACTAGGATATTTGATGGTGAAGTGGTGGCATTAAAAGCCGTATTATTGTGTAAAGGTGTGACTATTGTGCAGAAACAGTAATGGGAATATTGTAGAAAGATGATGCCTTTCTTACGTCAGTTTTTTATAGTGGAACAAGGTGCAGGCCAGAAAAAGTGTTTATTACGAAGAGAATGGATAGAAGGAAATAGTGCCATGTTCTGAGTGCTTGTGTGTCTGCAGTGATTCTGCATCCAGTGACTTAAAAGAGTCAGTATCTGGGCTCAATCATCCATCAGATGCTGTCTCTGCTGATGCAGTGAGTTTAGTAAAAAAAAACTGATTTCAGTCTTTTTTTGTTGATGTCATCAGCAACAGCCAGGTGGGAGCATATTGATTTGTTTTGTCCTGTGCAGCTGTTTCTGTTGATAATTCATAGTCACACACTCAAACTCTGTGAATGAATGCATTGATCGATTTATTTTCATACTTTTTACAGCGAATTAGAAAAATAAAAAGGAGTACCTTTTCTCCCCTTGACCAACAGTCTCATTGTTTGTTTTTAACAAATCAAAGACGTGACTTCTGTTWTTGAAGGTGTTCTGGAAACTTTTATCAAGTTGTACCTAAAGTAGTGCTGGGTGGTATACRGGTTTGTACTGAATACRYTTTTTTATTTTTGTTATGATATYAATTTTCTGAATACCGACATACCYGRTTAAATAGCCTGAACACGTGTGGAACGTTTRGTTGCGGCCGCCAATGAACTGTTTCCCACTTTTTGTTTCACTTTTCTTCGCAGCACCGCTATGTGCATTAGCAAGCTAATGTTGTTGCAGGGGCTGGTGGTGATTCCGCTGCTTATATTGGCTGACGTAAAAAAAAACATCCCGTTTTCACCATCGCTTAATGTAGTAAACACCTCTTCAGTGATGTGCACGGTTAGATTAAACACGCAACGTTAATGTGGAGATGTGGAGACGTATGGAGACTTTAACGTGCTTCTATTGTGAAAAGCCCGGGGTAAGTAGTTTGTAGTGGAGTTGAGTTGACTGGTGTGCAAGGTGAGTCGTGCTGATAAGCTTTATTAAATAGCATAAAACAATAGACCTGATCATAATCTTTTCTTAACCCTCCTCTTTCARGACCGGAKCAAAATGRYTGARTACTGTCTCCAACCACCAGTCAGAYAAAAAWCACAGAGGAGGGAAACAGTGACATAGACAGAGGTACAGTGAAAGAAAAAAGTTAAAAAGRTGTTTTTGTACATTTTATTATCAGCTGACCTGTGACGAAAAGAAAAATACTGTGATATACCGTGAACCCGGTYTAAATGTTGAAAATACAGTGATATAAAATTTTGGTCATACCYCCCAGCACTAACCTAAAGCCAGATTTCTGAGTTATGTAATTGTTTATAACTTTTTTTGAGCTGCTGAGTTGATCTCTATGAWAACATAAACCAAATATTACCTGCTAAAGTACCGGTACTTTCTTTGTCTTAATTAAAGCAAAATAGATCCAAGATGATTATTTGATTTAYGTTAAGAKTCCATTGTTTAAAGGCTTGTTTCCYTAACAATAAACTTGACAGACCTAAGAACAATGACCAAACACACTGGGACCAGTTTAGGTGTGGGCTGCATTCCACTTCTTGCACTTGTGCATGCACTGAAGCAGAACTTTTTTGTGTGTGTGTGTGTGTGTGTGTGTGTGTGTGTGTGTGTGTGTGTGTGTGTGTGTGTGTGTGTGTGTGTGT